AACACCACTTTTTCTTGCAGGCATGTAGAGGCACACAGGGACACACCACAAGCAAATGCTGCTCTCACCCCGCCACACAGAACACAGAGGGGCAAAGAGCACTCAGGACTGTGGAAACATAGAAGGAAGAACGGGCTCTTTCAGAACACCACTGTGTACCTTCAGCTGGACGAGCTTCTGGCTCTCCAGCCTCAGCAACTGGTGCCACTTCTTCAGGTGCTTCCTCCTCCTCTTCCTCAGGCATCTCAGGCACTTCAAAGATATTAGTGTGTTTTGTTTTACACTGGTGAAAGCACATGCCAAATAGGAACAAAATCCAGGGCAACGCAGATACAGAACATCACCACACAGCCAGCTCATCACCTTACACACACATACGGCACCGTTTACCAGGCATGCACAGTCCTGAGAATCTCTGTTTGGAAACAGAGACAGGCCAAGAGAGGGAGGACAACACTCAAGAGAAGAAGATAAAATATCTTCTTTGTTAAGTTATCCATGAAAAGAGGTACCTCTGGGTGCTGGAAGCTCTGGTGCTTTGGCAATGGGAACGGACACTTTTTCCTCACGAGTAGCCTTCCTGGGCACCTCAGGTGCTTCAAAGATATTAGTAACAGTCAGTTTTATACATTAAACAAGAAGGTGAACAATGAAACACAAACTAGAGATGCACTCATGAAGGTAAGCAAACTGGTCTCACAGTGTCTTGAGCCCATTTCTCCCTCACTCACAGACATATACGCAAACCCACAGAGAGGCACAGAGAGGCACAAGGTGGTGATGTCAAGTAGGTTCTGTGAGAAAACTGATGGCTATATTTAGGTTCTGCTGAGGGTGAGGTGTGAATTAGGATTCCCCTCTCTGTACTCAGCAGCCTTAGCTACCTGAGAGGAGGCAGCATCATTTCTGCCTTCCTGGGATCTGACCTTTCCCTGGGATCAACCTCAGCCCAGAACTTATGTTTTGCCATTCATTATGAATCTGACAGTGCTTTTCAGTCAGCAGTGTGGGCAGTGACAGTGTGAAGAATGGAAAGCCCATCATCATTACTATTTCTCTTTGTTTATTTTATTTTTTTCTTCAAATCTTTTGCTATACTGGTACATTGTGGTTTTGACCTCGTGACCTTTCAGGGCTTCTGTAATACTGCAAATTAAAAATATTTTTTCCCATTCATCTTATCAGCTATGATTTATAGTAGTTTAAGATTCTGAACACATATGAGGAAGATTGTGAGAGTCCTCCATGTTTTCTATATATTTGCGTTTTTCTAACAATAGAACATGTATACGGCAGAGATCATAGAAATTTCAGGCAATCACACATGAGCAGCGTAACAGACATGACAAATAATGTCTAAGACAGACACATTCTCTTTAAGTCTGATGCACAGTGCAACAGGTACCTCGAACTGGTGCAGGCTCTGGCTTTTTTGGCACAGTTACATGTATGGGCTCTTCCACAACACTTTTCTTGGGCACCTTGGGCACTTCAAAGATATTAGTATGCTTTAGTTTTGTGTGCTCTACGGGTGTATGAAACAGTAAGATGATCAATAATACATGCATGCAGTCTTCTTTGAGAAAGTGCTGGGGGTACATTCAGTCATCACTTATGCTTTGCTTCAAACACTTGGAATAACCAGAGTGTAAAATATGGCAGGCAGGAGGTGGGAATTCTGTGTTTAGTTTCTGTTTCTGAGTCAGGCAGAAACATAGAAAACACATGCCTTCTTTCTAACAGTTGAAAGACTACATGGAATTCGACTGCATTTGAGTACTAGTCATATACCATTTATGACTGTGTGTTCTGTGTTAGTTTTAGCAGTCACTGTCATTCTTTTATTTGTCACTTGGAAATTCTCACTATTTTTTATTTCTGAACTTGACTTTACCTTTCTGTTTTCCATCTTTGTATGCTTACTCTCTTTTTTTGCTTGGCACATTCTTTCCTATTACAGCTCTCACTTGCATTCTCATCATTAGATGCTGCTTATAAGTATTTCCCTTTATATTATTTTTTTAATGATTTAAATTTCATCATTATGGGGTGGTTATTTTATTTGAGGAAAGTTGTATTTCAGATGGAGACAAATTGGTGCAGAGGGTATTTACTTCTCTGGTCAGTGTTTGGGACTTTCTAAAGAAAATGAAATGATGCAGCACTGCATCAATCTATGCTGTGTACAGCTTTACAGTATCTTAAGTCATCTTTAGTATTTGAATTCTAAAGTCTCTTATCCTCATTAATCTGAGAAAAGAAATGCCTCCTATAAAGTTCAGTGAATGTTGCTCACATGAGCTTCACAGGTCTTTCGTGCTACTCCTACTATGTAAATGCTTTGCAAATCACAGAGGGGAGAATGTTGACATTCTCTACTTCAGACAGTGGAGAATGTTGACATATGTACAAAATACAGGTAAATTACAATTAACCATTTAAATAAAAGATTCTGCTTCATGATGCTACCTGTGACACCACAAATACATAAAGACGTTTGCAATTATTTTGCTCTATTTACAGAAGCTGGTACTTTCTGCTGAAACCTTCTACTTAGTTTTGTCATAGAAACATAGAATCATTTAGGTTGGGCAAGGCCTTTTAAATCATCATATTCTACAGTAAACCTGCCAAGTCCCAGTGAACTATGCATTAAACAATCCCTATTAATAATGTGAACAACAGTTTATGCATCCATTCTCTTGTTTAGTGTCCAAAATATTTTGGCATCGATTGTTAACAAGAGTTCATAGTACCTGCTTGATTTATTGCTATAGCCTAAGAAATAAAATCTTAAAAAAAAAGCGATATAAGAAAAGTTTGAATGCTTTTAGTTGAGGAAACATTTAACACCCCTGCACAGCGATTATTTTATGGTATATCTCTCTCATATTTTAGATATCAGAATATACAGTGAAAGAACAATTTAAAATGAGATCATTTAAAGCCAACCAACCTTCATTATGGTGTTAATCATGGTGGTATGTGTCTTTAGTAAGTGAAGTTCCTGTATTTTTAGGTAATGTGCTCTTTCTCCTCTGGGGAGCCCTCTCAGGTATCTCATGCACTTCAAAGATATTAGTGCATTTCATTTTGCAAGTACAATACAACAATATAAGTACAGAGACTGAAACACGCAGAACAATAGACGTGTTCTCGAGTAAGAACTTGGTACACACTCATACTCTGTTTAGCAGGCATCATTTAAAACATCAGATTTGAAATGACAGACAGAACAAAAGAGGTTGAGATAATAAGAGAAGAAAATTAGGTGTGTTTAATATATATGTGTGCTAATATGTACCTCTGACTGATGGAGATTCTGACTTTTCAGGAACAGCTATAGGAATTTTCTCTTCTGGGATAGCCTTTCCGGGCATTGCATGCTCTTTAAAGATATTAGTAACTTTTAGTTATTTGTATTAAGCTTTAAAACTAACAGTGAAACATCATATACTCAAGAGAGTGAAAAGAGATCCTATTCATAAGTAGTACCTTTAGGTGGTGCAGCTGCTCGTATTTTAGGTAGAGCAACACTCTCCTGCTTTTCGGCCAGCTTGGCTGGTGGTGGTTCCTCAGATGCCAGAAGAGGCTCCGGTTCTTTAGGTGCTACTTCAGGCTTTGGTTTTTGAAGTGCTGTAGAAGGCTTTAGTTTTTTGAGTGCTAAAATTGTTTCTGGTTCCTCAGGCTCCATGACAGGTTCTGACTTGCCGGCTGCCACAATGCGCTTTGATTTTCTGGACTCCTCAATATGCACTGATTTTTGGAAACCTGCAACAAACTCTGTTGCTTCATTTGCTACAACAAGCTCTGTTTTTTGGTGTGGCATAAAAGGTTTTGTTTTGGGGGGCACCACAAAATGCTCTGATTTTTGGGTTGATGCAACTGTCTCTGACTCCTTAAGTGCCACAATGTGCTCAGGTTCCTCAGGGGCCAGGAATGGCTCTGTTTTTGGGGGTTCCACAACAGGCTTTTGTTTTGGAGGCGTCATGCCATGCTTTAGTTTTTGGGGTGCCACATCAGGCTTGGGTTCTTCAGGTAGCACAATATACTCTTGTTTCTCAAGCACCACAAGACGCTCTGCTTTTTGGAATGCCACAACATATTCTGTTGTTTGAGGTGCCAAAATAGTCTCAGGCTCCTCAGATACCACAACATACTCTGGTTTTGGGGGTTCCACAACAGGCTTTTGTTTTTGGGCCACTCTAGCAGGTTCTGGTTCTTGAGGTTTTATCTCTTGAGGCTTTGGTTTTGGGGGTCCTGCAATGGGCTTTGGTTTTCTGGAAACTGGAAGAGGTACTTCCTTTTCTGGGAAAGTTGTCTTGGCCACTTCATGTACATAAAAGATATTAGTTCTAAATTTAACAAGTGCACTGACAAGCATACCAAGTTTAAGTGAATCATAAAACATAAACCCACAGTTGTAATAAAAACATTAAAAACATATCAGGTATCAGTCATTTACGTTGGCCTTTGTAATGATGAATATACCACGTTTGTCTCTTTTCCCTTTTCTCTCAAATGTACAAACACACCACAAGCCTCATGACACTGATAGTATAATTTAAGCTATAAGTAAAATCTATGGTAATTATAAACAAGAATGGACAGGACAAAAGACTAATAACATTGCAGGTGATAAGCAGACTCTTATAATAAGACTCTTTCAAGAATTAGCAGTGATGGCATATAATTTTTCTTGGTAAAGTTCTGCTTTTAGTTACTAGAATGAGTACTTTCTTTTCTTCTACTATTATCACTTTAAACATATTAGCTGCAGTTGCTTTCACGAACCAACTGTAGTAGAACAGTAAGAATAATCTAAAACAGTAAGATGAATTGAAGTTTAAGATACAGGCCATTTAGACATCCAAGATTTGTCACTATTCTTCAAAAAGACACAGGTATAATTTAGAATCTCAGAAAAGTGAAGGCCTGCAAAATCAATGTTTAAAGAAAAGAGGATTTGCTTTTCTTATTTTATTAGTGTTGAGATTTACCTGTCTCAGGCTCTGGTTCTTCAGGTGCAGGTTCTGGTTCTTTAGGCACAGATATTTTCTTTTCTGGAACAACTTTCTTCGGCACCTCAGGTTCTTTAAAGATATTTATTTGGTTTACTTTCAGGAATTTGAAGAATGGGAATTAAAAAGGCTACAATAGCTCCAAGATGAAAAACATTAAACAGAATCAGAAAAAAACCCAAAACAAACTAATAAATAGTCTTTGCTTTTTTCATACTGTTTGATGTACACCATTTATAGCCACTGTTGCTTACTAGGAGCTATTCACAAGTGAAGAAGACAACACAATCTGTAACATTTATAGATATTAGAATATAAAAAAGATGATAATACAAATTTAAAACTAATATTTAGAGAAACAAATTAAAATTCCTGTACAATTTTATCAGTATTGAAAATTACCTTTAGGTGGTGGAGGTTCTGGTTTTTTAGGAGCTTCAGTGTGTACTTTTTCTTCTGAAACAACTTTCTTGGGCACCTCAGGAACTTTAAAGAAAGTAATTAATTTTATTTTTATGAAATTCAAGCATATGTCTGCAGCATTAAGACACTAAGAAAAAGTAAATCTCTAGGACAGCAAAAACATGAATAGTTTTGGATATGAATATTAACTTTTTTGTTTGACTACGAGAAATTACTTTTTGATGTCGCACTGAGGTATGTATGCAAAAACTACAATTTAAACAACAAAAATATTTTATAGACCATTTATAGTAGAAGTAAATTACCATTATATTAAAATGGGTTTTCTTTCATTAATTGTATACAGCAGTTACCTTTAGTTGGTGGAGGTTCTGGTTTCTTTGGCACTTTAACTGAAATCTCTTCTGGGATCACTTTCTGTGGTACCTCAGCCACTTGAAAAATATTAATAACTTTTAATAACGAATTTCATAAGCAACATTAAAGCATAATAGCAGAACAATATTAGTAAGAATACCAAACAACAAGTTGCATTTTTTTCACACAACACATTTGTTCACTCAAATAACCTTTGATAATCAAAGAAAATTCTAACAGAGGTCTTGGGTACTATCTTCTATAGCATTAATTCAGTAAAAGAGTGAAATTTTTTGATTCTGTTAATTTTGTCACAATGTCAAGTACCTTTAGCTGGTCGAACTGCTGTTTTTTTAGGCTCTGCCACTGGTATTTTCTCATCTGGGACTTTCTTGGGCACTTCTGGCACTTTAAAATTAACAATTATGTTAATACTAAGAATGTAAAGACATTTAAATAACATTAAAGTGGAAAAAGAAGCAAACAAAAAGGACACCAAGTGACATGAATTAAACATAAGAATCTTTACCAAACAGGCTTTTTGCTCCCAATCTTGATTGAGAGTAATTTGAGGGGAGTAAAGAGGCTGCTCTCAAAAATGAATTTTCAAAATGGCAGCTTATAAGATAGAAAGATGGGCGTATCAAAATATCTTATCACTGAAAGTAATACAAATTATTGCCTTTTATTAGTTGCAAGTACCTTTAGCTGGTGGTGCTTCTGCTTTTTTAGGCACAGCAACTTTGATTTTCTCTTCTACAACTACTTCCTTAGATGCGTCAGGCACTTTAAAGAAAGAGATTATTTTCAATTGGAATTTTACAGCTACGTTCAAAAATTTCAATAGAAATTGCAAAGTAAGGAGGTTTTTAATGGAGCCATTGATTTGTCATATTTACTGGGGTTTTATATGTCTCTGGAAAGTCTGAAGAAACAACTCTGAGACTTTTGGAATTTCTTCTACATTACATAATTTTTTCATTTTATTCAACCACTTCCCAAATCTCCATTTCACTAAGGCTGCCATTGACCATTCTGTATTCCTTGTAAATTCTTCTATGCATGATGACTTCTTGGAATCAATATTTCATCTATGCACAGAGGGTTTTTTCCTGTGTTTGACATCTCTAACACTTACTCCACACTCTGAAATTATTAAACTCTCTCTCTGGGACTAATTTTTCACTGTCAGTTGAGAGTAATTCACATCCTAGAAGTCCTTTCTTCTCTTTTAAGATTTCTGCTGAGTTCTCAAGTATCAGTCTCATCTCTGCCCAGCCACATCAGTATTTCTAACACCCTGGTACACTGATTACAGCTATAGCTATGATTCCAGAACTGTAGGATATATAGAACTTTGGGCACAGAGAAGAAAAGTAAGAGGACACAACAAACAAACAATCAAAAACTAGTTTGCACAATCAAGGCAGAGATTTTTTTCTCTTCCAAATTTTAGTTATCTATCTGGTGTGCAACATACCTTTGGCTGCTGGTGGTTCTGGTTTTCTAGGCACAGCAACAGGTACTTTCTCTTCTGGAATTTTCTCTGGCACCTCTGGCACTTTAAAGGAAAAAGCATCCATTTTTGTTATATTTAAGGCATTTAAAAATACATAAATTATTAGAAGAGTCTTACAAGAAGCATATCAGAAAGAAATGTAAGATCAGATATAAAAAGAGATGTCATGCAAAAAATACTATATACAATTGCATACTACAGGATATTTTATAAACAAGAAATAAAGGGTAATATTTTTCATCTACTGTAAACGCTACTGCCCAAGAGAAAGGGAAATCTCCTCCTCAGAGAGTCAGCATTACTTTCATATAAGCTTTAGGTGGTGTTTACTCTCGGCTTTTTAGGCACAGCACCATTTACTTTTTCTTCTGAGACAGATTTGTTAGGTCTCTTGGACACAAGATATTAGTGTACTTTTAAGAATTAAAGAAAAAAACCAAGACAAACCTTCAATACGAAGAAATAAGACAAAACAAGTAAGTATATGAATAAGGATACTCTGACAACAGCTACATGTTCTGAAAATTCTCCATGGTTCTATCCCTCTGGAAAATCACAGTTTGAAGCAACATTGCTGGGATCTTTTGTCATGCAGTGGTGACATGCCACACAAACTGCTAGTTCATGCAGATTTCTGAAATATCTGAATGAACTGTAACAATTGGTTTCTGTGACTAATGCTATTTCAATTCAAAATTAAATCAATTGACCTCTAAGTTTAACATATGCAAAGTGAAAGAGGAAGTGCATATACTTCTTGCTTGAGGATTGATAGAATTTCTGAAGCTGTTTACAGTACCTACAAACACCCATGTAGTGAAATCGTTTGTTCTGTAGATCTCACTGCATGTTGGCTCAAGTAGTTTTCTTTATTTTTAGTCCCTTTGACTAGTTTCTGTCACAATTTCTGTGCCATCACAGTGGATTGCTCATCGGTAGGAGAAAGACAAACTCAACTTTTTAATGATTCAATAATGACAAAACAGAGGACAGAAGAAAGGAGAAGGAAAACATATGTTCACTCATACATTTGGCAGGTGGAGCTTCTGGCTTTTTAGGCAGAGGGACAGGTTTCTCTTCAGGAATAGTTTTATTGGGAAATTCAGGCACTTGAAAGATATTTACTGACTTTAATTTTCATGTTATGACATAAAAACAAGTTAAGAAATGGGAAAAGGGACATATACAACATAAATGCCACAAATCTGACACAAATGGACCATGAACTACTAAAGCAGAAAGGATGTAAGAACAGAAAAGATGGTTACTTTCAAAAGACCTCAGTTCTATTTGGCTATAACAGTACCTTTAGATGGTGGAGGTTCTGGTCTTTTAGGCACAGGAATAGGTTCTGTTTTTTTAGGCACAGCAATAGGCACTTTTTCTTCCGTAACAGTTTTCTTAATGACTGTGGGCACTTTAGAGATAGTTCATTTTAAGAATTTATATAGAATAGAAAGACAAGTCACAAAAAATCCCAGGTTTGTAAGTAACTGTTGGTACTATAGGTACTAAAGGTACTAAAAGAATGAACACAGAAACTAATTACACTGAACAAGAAATTAAACTATGAACAAGAATAATTTTTCTGGAGTTCATGAATTTGAAAATTTCAGGAAGAGATGATGAAGAAGACATATACCTCTAGGTGCTGAAGCCTCCTCTTTTCTATAAACAGTAGAAATTTCCTCTTCTATGTGCATCTCCTCATAAACTTCATGCACTTGAAAGATATTAGTTGAAATATTTAAATTAACTTGGAATATATTCAGAAAACAACAGCGTGAAAGATAACAAATGCAATCAAATATTCAAGCTAATCCAAAGATACATGGGTCTGTGTTATATTTACCCTCTAAATAAGCTTTCAAAATGAAGGAAGAAAAAAACCCTCAGATTCTACCCTTAGCTGACCCCTTCAGCTTGCCAGGAGAAAGATGAGTGATATGTGGTAGACCAGGCTGGATACGGTTCTGAGCAACCTGATCTAGTTGATGATGTCCCTGCTCAATGCAGGGGGGTTGAATTAGATGACCTTTGAAGGTCCCTTCCAACCTAAGCCATTCCATGATGCTGTGTCCTGAACTGGGCTTGAGTGCAGAGACAGGCCCTGTCTATCTATGCTGCTGCATTTTCTATTCTATTTTTTTCCCCTCAGACTGATCCCAAATACCAGAGTCCATTGCAATTATCTCTTGCACAAAAAGCTAATTTTCCCCTTAAAAAACCCTACAGATGATTTTTTATGTAATTAATTTTATACTGTTGCAGCTAATGAAAGCTGCTAAGTAAACTTTATTGTAGGCAGGATGCTCTCAAAATAATCAGAGATTTATATATGAAAACATATTTTTTATATTTCAAATCCTACTAAAACTTTATTGTACCTTCAAAGTGTGAAGCTTCTTCTTTAGGTAGAGGAGGAGGTATTTTTTCTTTGCGGACAGCTTTCTTTGGTACTATAGGAACTTAAAAAAATTGGTTTATTTTAGAAATTTGTACTAGGAAAGAAGTAGTACAGTCTTGTAAAATAGTAAAAAATTCTACTAGAATGAAAATACATGGTATTAATCTGTGAATACAACTCAAGAACTTCACTTTCTGGAGTTCACTACTTTTCTATTTCCTGATACTTACAGGTCTGATTTTTCTCTTTGCTTTAAAGAGAAAGAGTTAGGTTTTGGTTTTTTTTCTTTTCTTTAAGAGCTTTGGCAATTTAAGGGGTTTTCTTTAAAAAAAAAGAAAATAAACAATTTACCTATAAAAACAAGGCAAAACTGCAGTAAAATTAACTAAATAGTATGTTTCAAACATCTATGGAGTACTTAAAACTCCATAAAAAATAGTATGTTTCAAACATCTATAGATGTTTGAAACATTTGGAATTTTATTAAAAACTATGCTTCTATGAAAAAAAGAGGCTTTGTATTTTGTCCTTATTTAAAGTCTTACCTTAAATTTATTAAAACCCCTGACATGATTGCAGAGTGCTTCTGCAAACAAGCTTCTGCCACAACCTTTTAGGGTTTTTAAAAATATATTGTCAGAGAAAGTATTTTGGGAAATAGAATATGAGACAAGAAGTAAAAAAAAAAAAATATAAAAAGCCCTGTTATGAATTTCCTGTGTACTAATTTTTTTATATATTTTCTTTATATTTCTCTCACTTTTTTTTTTTTTTTTTAAATTCTTGATGCAGAATGTGCCATACTGTTTGAGCAGTTGCTAACACAAGACAAAAACATGAACCTGTGGAAAATGTTCCTTGCTTTTCCTGAATGATAAATTTTTCTGTCTTAATAATTGTTCATTAGATGAACATAAACTATTGGTTTGAATCCCTGATCTCTCTGTATGTATACTCTCTTTCTAAGATAAAAGCAAACAAAGAGACAAAATTTAGTCTTACAAGAGATCAAATGGAAGAAAAGAGTGTATATAGCACCTAGTCATGTCGTTCAAGAAAAACATGTTGGATTTCTCAGTTTATGCCTCACTTTTGAAAGAGGCTAGACAAAATCCATTTGGGGCTCATGTACCTTTAGCTGCAGGAACTTCTTCTGTAGGTACAGCAGATATTTTCTTCTGTACAACAGTTTTCTTTGTCACTGCAGGTACTTCAAAGATAATACATTTTTTAAAGAATGTAAGTAACAAAAAAAGCAATGACAGACACATAACAGCTAAGAAAATATCAGAATGAACATATTAAATAACAGATTGGCACATGGGTCTAATGATGAAAATGAATAGCTAATTTGTAGGGAATGTGTTTCTTTATAGATTGCTTGAATACTTGGTGTACCTTTAGCTGCTGGAGCTTCTGGTTGACTAGGAATAACAACAGGGGCTTCTTCTTCTTCTGTTGGAACTTCTTCATAAACTTCAGGCTCTTTAAAGATATTAGTTTATTTTGCATATTTTAACATTATTTAGAAGACAATACTAGATTGACATAATGCAAAAGTGAAAACATATATACGGACAGAGAGCTGTTTGAACATAAAATTATTTAAATGTCTAATTTTTACCTGATCATTTACCTACTATCACTAGAAGCAACCATTCCCAGTTAGTAAAATAAAAGTTTACAGAAATATTTATTTTCTAGTTACTTAGTTCTGTGTATTAAACAGAAATTGCAATTGAATTTCACATGTCCTCATCTGGCATGAACTATGTATACCCCAGCTCAAAAAATTAATTGTTACTCTGGATGGCTTCTAAACCAGTGTCTATTTAATTTCATTTCTCTGGTCCAGTGTGACTAAAGTGCTTTCCTGGAGCAAAAACCTAGCTTCACCCTTATTTATGTTTCTTTCTCCCATGCTAAACTATAACTAAATTCAGGGGGAATGAGGGTCTCACAGACATGGATGGAAATTACTTTTAAATAAATAAAAAAATAAATTGAAAGTGTTTCATATTTTACAGAGCAATCTAGAGCATGAGTTGATACAGTCCCTGCAATTTACTGCTTGGTAGATGTGTCACTGATGTACCTTCATAAAAAGGAAGCTCCTCTTCTCTAGGAATAATGGTGGGTATTTTCTCTTCAAGGACAGCTCTCTTGTGAAACTCAGGAACTTAAAAGATATTACCTTGCTTTTAGTAAACTCAAAATAATTTTCAACTCAAACAGAAATAAACTCACAAATCTAAGGTCTTTTGAATGTCCACATACAGTGCCTTTTTGAGAATGAAATATTACGCAGTTCTAGAACTGCCTTGCTAGTACAATTATGTGACCAAATGTATAGTTTCTGCTCTCAAAAAGCATAACCCCTCTGCTTTTCTTACTGTATCATCATCTTTTTCCTTCTCATATGTGTAACAGCTTTAACAGTTTTAACTTGCTAGCTCTTACCCTATTACTTTTCCACCAATATCATGTATTGGCATCAAAACCCCAATTTAAACTAAATTCACATCTACAGTACAAACATAAAAGTGCTGAAGGTCTTCACACTGGTAGTGTAAGTAGCGATACCTCCTCAGCATGTTTTCATTCATAAATCAATGTATTTACTGTTTAGCACATG